TATATACACATACATATACATGTTAGAATAATGAGCTGAAATGAAATAGGAGTAACGAATTTCTACTTAGCTTGTTTAAAAATGTAAGAAGTAAAAGTACAGATAATTGTGCAAAAAGTAGGCTGAAAAATAATCACTCAAGAAAAGTACAGATAACCAAAATTTCTACTTAACTACAATAACAAAGTATTTATATTTAGTTACTTTACAACTCTGGTTTTATAAGACTGTATCTGTTCTTCAGATGTTCACATTGTGGGTCTCATCAAACCAAGCATTCAGGGTGTTTTTGAAGCCTCTGTAAGTTGGAGATATCACAGTGTTTACACTGCAGCGAGTGGAAAAGACACCCCACTCACTACCTCACAGCCCTTTCCTGACTGAGAGTTTGTGTTTCCATTCTGTTATTGTGCTTTCTGTCTGGAACACGCTCAACAAAAACAGAATATTCTGTTTACACAGTCACGTTTCCTGCTTCACATGTGACAGACACTCAGGTCTAAAACTATGTGAAACACGCTAAAGTCATTGTGACGGTTAAGTTTTATGTGTTGCGTGCTCGTGTGAGAGTTTACCTTTGTTAGATAGTAGACGGACTGCTGGAACGTAAACATGATGACTTCCTCCAGGACTGTCATGGCCTCCTCACAGGCGGTCCGAGTGGAGGACAGCTCAGAGTCCAGCAGATCTGAGAAGAACATCAAAGTTTGTCTCAATAATGCAAACACACAACAGGTCTGACAGCTGTTAGTGCGTCTAACCACCTGCGTGCCGGCGGTTCTGCCTCCAGGGTAGCAGCTGAGGAACCTCATGTTGGATAAAGTGCAGCAGCTCGATGGAGTTGGCCATCCACAGCGCCAGCGGCTGCAGACCTGGGATCAGCTCCTTCATGCTGAGCATCTGAAGCTGCTCAGGCTGCCCATCACCACAGCTCCTGACAGGAAAGGACCAATCAGGAATCAGAGTTATATCTAATTATACAACACCAAAATCATCTGTTTTATCACACAATTCAGCGTAATTCAACCTGAGGAGTCATTTTAACATTATTGGATAAAAATCTCTTCTTGTTGATTCTGTACACATGCTCTTGTGATTTTCAGACCTCAGTTTTGTTTTTAGATCAACAGACATCTGTATGTTTATCTGTTCTCGTGTTTCAACCTTCAAGCTGTGATGAGAATCTTTTGTTTTAAGGTTTAACTCAGATATCTTACATTTGATTTAAAAAACATAAAAAACTATCAGTTAATTGACTAGTTCTTTACAGTTTGTTGCAACACTTTCAAAACCGGTTAGAGCCTTTTTTTACTAGTAAAAGAAAGATTTTGTTGTTATAGTTTTTTTCCTAATTTTTTGGCAAACAAATAAGATATTCTTAATGAAAGTTGCATCATTTGTATTAGAAATATATATCTAGTAATATTTAAGGAATCAGAGTATAATAACAAGAAACAGACCACAGAGACGTAATGAAAACTTTCTGGACTCACATTTCTGGCTGGATTGCAGCAAGTTTCTTTGTCTTCTCCTGAAAAATTGTAACGTATAAACAAAATATTCATTTCAAACATCATGTTCTGGAATATTTAGTTTTCATTCAGAGATTAATATGTCGTATTTGAAATTTTCTTGCAAGAAWAGCTGAAGTTTCAGATTAAAGTGGTTTCATCTTTACCCATGCGACCAGCTGGATCTGGCTGGCTATCCTGAGCAGCAGCTGCCTGAAGTGCGTTAACTCGAACGTGGAGGCCGAGTGCTGGATGCAGAGAATCAGCAGGAAAGCTGGCGTCAGTTTTGGCTCACTCCCACTGGGGTCTACCGTGTCCAGAATCTGCTGAAGAACTCTTTCTTCTTGCTCCAGCTCGTAGCTTAACGACGCCTCCGTGCCTTCGAGGTCTCTCCATCGAGATGCTAACGGCTTCCTCTGGAACTGTTTAACGGCGACGGTGGAGCCACACGACAAACAAGAGTTCAAGTTCGGGCAGAGTCTGGTCATCCAAGGTGGAGAGTTGAGGGGTCCTGATGTGCTGGTAGGATCCTTAAACATGAACAAGTAATGTTTTCCCAGGCCCACCAAATCCCCTGGACTCAGTTCYACTTCCTCTTTCAGAAGGAAACCATTTCTGGTCACAGGAGCACTGTGGAGAGGCTTCAGCATTGTAAGTGTCTTTTTGTGCTTTCCTGTGGGTGTTGGGCTGTTAGAGTCCAGGCGTTTGACGCAGCAGTGCTGCGGTAACACATCAGGAGCAAAAAGAAGGATGTCCACTTTTAACCTCTCCTCGTCTTCTCCGTTACAGTGCTCCCTGCAGCAGCCGAAGATGGTGGTGGTCCCGCTCATCAGGTAGATGACAAAATCCTGAAAAACAAATGTTCATATCAATACCAAACAAGACCTGTTCATTAAAAATGTCGAAATTAGATTAATAKCAACAAACAGGCTTGAACTAATAACTAAACAAACGATCATTAGAAATATCAATAACATTGGYCCTCATGRAAGAACCGTTCGTACAAACAGATTTGTTCTTAAGTTGTGTGTACGAGTGATTTAGGAGAACTTATCATTCACCAATGTTTTCGTATTCTAAGATTTTTTTCAGATACGAACAAAAGTCACGAGTGGTCCAGACCTGTCGCAGTCAGTCTGCTGTTATCCAGACGGGTTTTCTTCACTAATAACTTTATATTTCATTAGTTTGAAGATATTTAGAGTTGGAAATAAATCACACTCCATAATTATGTTGACAATAGGTTATTCTGTTTGAAATGGAATTATAATTTTAATGTAGACTAACAACATAAATTGGTTAAATTAAATTAAATTGGCTATTAATGCTGTTGAATAGCACACAATATTAATATGAAGTTAATTGAAGTTTGGAGACATTTTAAAATGCTTTTTTTTTTCAGAAACGCATCTGACACTTGCAACGGTCGGGGGGTGGGGTGGGGTCTAGCYGTGCGCGACTGCTCTTCTGAATAAATGAAAACTATGTAACACAGTTGCTTACACTTAGATTAAAAATATTTGACCAAAGGAAGAACGGAGCAGGACTAGAATTTAATTTCTGTGACTGTACGACCCMAGACACGACATTAAAAGCACATTTCATTCCTCGGCTTTAGCAGCTCCTTTAATTCCACAGCTGACCTGCTAAAAATACCAGATTTTCTTTTCTGGATCTCTGACAGCAGGACTTCGATCTCCGAACTCGTGAAGTTCTTCTTTTTACTTTGTGATGTRATTTATGAATGAACACTTCCTGGTATGTCGGGCAGGAAGTGTTGCCTTTTATGGTGTTTTTGGGGTGGTAGATTATGCTAATCTCCTCTCCTTATGCACGAGCACCTGATACACATTCTTTAGTTTACGCAGCTCATTTACACACTTTTCCTGAAGATAGAAYAGTTTGTTGAATCTGACGTGGCATAAGTAAGAGAAATTTAGGATAAGAATACGAACATYTTCTTGCATGAGGCCCAGTGTTCTCAAAGTACTTGTTTTCCTTAAAAATACAAGGGAAAAAAACAATTCCTTTACACTGAAGGAGATGGAAGCCATCAGCACTTAAAACGTGTCAATAACAATTTTCTTCTAATCTGCTTCACTTAAAGTAAACACTCAGTCTGTCAGTGTGTGGCATGTGACAGATTTCCTTATGTAACATTTTGGAAATGAACCAGCGTGTAAACAGCTCTGGGATCAGCTGGTAAAAATAAGGCTGGGGCTGGAAGCCTGAAGCGAGACAAGAAGGGAAGAGATTACAGGTTGATGAAGTCTCTGACCTCAGGGTCACCACATTAACAGCGTTAGTCAGGCGATGGCATCATCACCTGTACAGGTCAGAGCTATGAGGCCTTAATGCCACAGCTGTGCTAAATTATTTTTATTTCTGTCAAACAAAAACTCAGAGAGGTCTCAGAGGTCAAAATCAAACAGGCTCAGGTCAAATTAAATTGCTTAATAAAGTCATAATAGTTGTCAAAATACATCATATTTGCATGTTTTTGATCTGACTGTTTTACTGCTGATTTTGCTCATTTATTAAGGTTATGCAGTAGACGTTTGGTAGTAAATGACCTGTATTTAATATTTAATTATAGATGATGCACAAATAATATTGAATAATTACATATTTATTTTGAATTGTATTGTATTTTGAACTGAATATTTTGACAGCTACTATGGCTTTAAATGTTACTTTTAAATAAAAACACTGCAATTATACCGGCTAATTCAACAACTTTAGTTGAAATAATTTCTGTTTTTTGTTTTGTTTTTGTAGAATGAATGACTGAAAATAGTTTTGGTCTGGGGAACTTCCACAGGCACTATGTCAACTCAACCTATAATTAGAATAATAGTTTGCAGAAGTCCTGATTGAGTTCTTTCTCCAATAACAACACGGTGTCAGAAACACGACTTTCAGTTCCTGTTTTGTGACCACTGGTGTTTCTGAAACAGTCTTGTTAAGACTCAGATCAYGTCAGCCTCACCTCTCAGTTGGCTGCAGAGCGACCAACATCCTACCCAGAGAGCAGAAATAAAAATAAAATTAAATAAAATAAAAAACATTACTAGAATAAGGTTCTTGTTCCTGGTAGGGAGCTGAGCCAAAACCACAGCCTGACTTTCTGGTTTGCTGTGAAACAGTCGGTCTAAGATAGAGCTTTGACCTGACCAGTGACGTCTGCAGGTGCAGTTCAAACCGCTGATTACAAACGGAGAGAAGTCAGGGTACTCTCTGTGTTCTGTTGAGGCTTCCCTTTCAGTTTCTGGTGAACTCACGTCCCTTTGTTGGCTCATGATCACAGACAGCTTATCCTGTGGGGAAGACGGAGCTAAAATAGACTCTCRTGGTTCTATTTACTCCACCTCAGAAATCCGTTCTGAGAAATGCATGTTAAGTTTAAAGTGCCCCTTCTCTGCCAATCCTCTTACCACACAGGTAAATAAGGCTGTTTCATTACCCGRGAGGTTCTTAACTTAAGACGTTCAATTCAAGGTTCTCATTCACTTGTTTCCACCTCGCTGTGTTAAGKTGTCTGTAAACACTGTCAGCAGAGATCCTCTGAGGTCTGAGCCAAGCCTCTTCACTGCTTCAGAAGTGCACAGATTTAAAAACGTATGTTTTTTTCTGTATTTTATTAGTTTATTCTTAAACTTAGACAGGAAATCCTCTGTTTTACATTCATCTCAAAAGCTTTTTAAAGAAATGACACATGAATGATAAGTCATAAGAACTCTGACACCAAAATGCCAAGGTTTATTAATAACTGTGCTTCATGTTACAGTGACACCAGTGTGGATTACATATTTAGATAAGTTGGAAAAAATAGTGTTTTTCTCACTCTGTGTCTGAGGAGGTCTGAATTTGTYTTTATTTCCTAAAGGGACAATTAACATTAATCAACATCACATCAATATGCCAGATTTAGACAAAAAAGCAGATTTTTATCTGTAGTCTCCTAGCAGGTTGATGTAAAAGCTTAGAAAAAATTACAACTAACATGCATTACAACATGCATGACCTATCATTTAWGACAGATTTCAACAGCTAAAAAGTATCATAATTTACAATAAAAACACTAAATAAAATTTTTAAACAAGTCACATCCGAGAGAGAGTAAAACACAGTAATTTAAGAGTTATTCAAGACATGAATACAGTTTTGWTTATCTAGTAACAACTGCCTAAGTGATTTTTTTTTAGAGTTAAGGGACGATATATTTCTAAGTTGTAAAGGTTGCGTATTTCAAGAATTTGAAGCCCGAACAGAAAATAACAAGTGACTGAAAGAACTTTTCCTGAATTTTATTTTACAGTCTCCCCTACTAACTGCTCTAGTTATATTTGATTGTAGATGTAAATGGACAAAGTCCTTCAATGGTGAAGGACCTGTTAAAAAATCTGAATACAAGATCATGTTTTCCCAGCTCAAAATGTCATACTTTTGTAATATTTATTGATTTGATTTGATTTATTGATTTAACAGGAAAAGATTACTAAAAATCAAGTTTTATAGTATTTTATAAGTATTTTAGTTTAAGTTTAATTGTTTTATCTAAGGTCTTCAAAGTATGCTTATAGAGTCTTTCTATTGGTTGTAGTGTGGTCCGACTAGCCTGGGACCAACTCTTCATGCAGCAATTTATATGAGAAAGAATCACAGCATTTAAATATGATTTGGAAGCTTCCAATGGCAAGTTATTTCTAATATGTTTGAAATTACGTCAATTAAATTGTATCTTTTTCTTACTTGTTTGATATGTTTCTTGAATAGTTGGGAATTCATTATTTGTAAGTATTTATACTTTGTACTTATGTTAACATTTGTCCATCCACTGTAATAACTGGATCTGGTTTGCACTTAGAAAAGAACATGCAAATAAATATTATTATTAAGACAGGGCTATTCAACTAAATTGCTCCGGGGGCCACAGTTKCTGCAGGTCAACAGCTGAGGGGCTGAACATCCAGCAATTAAATTTATTATTTAAATAAACCAAGTATTACAAAAATATGTTACCTTTGAAATAGTTTATGTTGTTGTATTTAATCATAATTACAACACAGAGAACCCTATGTAATAAAAGTAGTGATAATTAAACAATATTAAAAGCAAAAAGAACACATTATGCCTCCTATTTGACACAAATATTATTTTGACATCTCTGACTTGCCAAATTTTTAAACCAATTTTATTTTCACTTTCATAGCTTTATCATCAACTGCTTGTAGTTTTAACTATCCTCAGTGTGCATAAATGTTTATTTTTTTTACCAGCTTGTAGTCAAGATTATGACGTTTCTGTAGATACCAAACATGTCTACGGTTAGCTAAAATAACAAATTAATTTCGGGGGTTTGGGCTAAAGAGATGAACGAACCAATTGGCGGGCCGAGCTTTGGTCACTTGTGGGCCAGATGTGGCCCGTGGGCCACCAGTTGAATAGCCCTGCATTAAGATGTTAAGATGAACATTAGGATAAAATCTGATCACCAACGAAACTTTAAAAACTTTATCAAGAAAAAAAAAGCATTTTATGGCAGCTGCTGGCACCTTTCCCAGAACACATCCAAGTGAATAAAAATGTATTTGTACTATTTTACAAGTAATAAAACAAAAATGTACATAAAGTCATTATGAGTTTTGGCTTTGGATATTTTTAATATCACCTGGAAGTGTTTCTGTGCCCTACCTGTCTGTGGTTATATCCCTGCAGCAGGAGGAAGTAGGGGAAGTCAAAGGGTGGGTGGATGGAGTACTGGGTGGTGTTGTCATCGCTGCTCTCCGTCTCTTCCTTCTCCATGCCGAGCCGCAGCACCTCCTTGTCTGCCTCCACTTCCAGGTCCTCCCTGAGCGCACTCTGTTTGGCCCGGCTGGCCTCCTTCCCCATTGCAGACAGATCCATTTCACTCAAGCTTCTCCAGAACCCGGGACTGTCTGCATCTTCCCCGCTGCTGTCCACAAACAGCGAGGCCACCCTGGAACGGTTCTTCTGAAGTTTACGAGCCTGGGCATTGATACCTGGATTCACAGAAAGAACAGGGTTTTATTTATTTATTTATTTATTTTTTGTTTGCACCTAAGATGCACCTATTTCAGTATAAAAAATAAACAATTGCACGTTTGCAACAGACTGGGCATTCATGGACTGTTGAACTCTGGGCTCTAACAGAGAAGGTGGTTGATCCAGTGCAAACTCTGGTACTAAGCAGAGCTATGAGTGGACAAAGAGGTTAAATGCAACAAAGTAAAACACAAGAAAGAGAAGGTTTATCACAGARGAAAAGGTAATTCTTCAAACTTCAAAGTTAGAAACTATGTTATATTTTACCCATACACTGTAAAATACAACAGTCTGCAAGTGAAGATAACTTAGTTTTCATCCATTTGTTGTTTATGCTCATCTTGATTTAGTGATGTGAACTTTTGGATAGAAAATGTTTGATAAGTTAAAAGTTAAATATTGGAAAGTGGTGGGGATTTTCCATTGTAAAGAGTTAGGCCTAACATTCTGAGCATGCTCAGATCAACTTTACTCCATTTTCTGCTCAACTAGCAAACCTGCTAACCAAAGACATTTATAACTGATTCTGAACATGTCTCATAACTTGTTATGTTCATCGTCAGCTCTTATTTATCCTTATGGTCTTATGGTACACTAATTTGGTAAGTACATAGTTGTTCTTTGTGTACATGATTTTCTGTGTCGTTAGTGTGCTGTCTGTCATAGTTAACATTAAAAATAAATCACCTAAGATTACCAGGCTCTGGCCTCTTCAATTTCAGAGTCCAAAAGTTGCTACATTTTTAACTTTATAATTATTTAACATAAAATGTGTGTTTGTATTGACAGCATTAAAATTTTATTTTATCTTAAACTACGTAGAATCAATAAGGCCGTGTGTCATGTTGTAGTCACAGCAGTAAAGTTAACTRGAAAGAACTTCTTAACTACTTTGGTCAGATCTTTTATCATTTATTTTTCCAAAGACAAAGAGGAATTTTGCACAATTTTTAAACTCACTGGAGTCTAGAACATATGAGGGCACGTTAGACACTTTAAAAATCACCACTATTTATGACAGGGTTCATGCATGTTTCAGTAAGTTAAATTTAAGACCTTTTAAAGACCTTTTAAGACCATCAGGAATGACATTTAAGACCAAACTGAGGCATTAACAAAAACATTGAAATGGTCCYAAAAATTTTAACATAGAAACCTTTTATTGCTATCAACTTTGCTATGAAAGAATATTTCATTTTAATACATGAACACCAAATTATTTTAATGAAATGSTCATATCCATGAAACCTTCATTTTGACTGCTGTGGACCGCTTTCAACCAAGTGCAAAAATCACTGATAAGCCAAGTCTCATTGAAAACACACTTTCCCGTGTTTAAACGACACGCAGCAGACATGACTGAACTTCTTTGTTTTTTGGACGTGTGAACAAGCTGCCATATGCAGGGGGTTGTAGCAACAAAGAGGTCAAAAGCATGGATGTATAGTGTGCCATTTTTGCCTGCAGTTATTACAGGATTTGTAGTTTAATGCGTACAAAGACTGGTAGCAAACTAAGCACTAATGAAGACAGATCGTATCATCCTCTGATTACTGTGCTTTACTCTATGCAGCCAATTCTTCTCTGGAATGATAGAAAGTAAAAAAAATTAAGACTTAACAAAATAAAAATTAAGACTTTGGATGAAAATATGGGTGTATTTAAGACTTTTTTATGCCTAAAATTTTGATTTTCAAATTTTTGACTTTTTTTAGACTGTTTAAGACCCTGCATGAAACCTGTATTAGCCCTTGTTGATGAATTACCAGTACAATGTTATGTCTGCAAAAACAAAAAGCAAGTGCGATAATGTTACATGATATTTGAGGAAGTAATGTAAAAACAGTTTGAGCTTTGATGCCATAATGTAGGTTTATAAACTGTCAATTTTCTCAGTTTATTTATAGTAGATCTTATTTATTTCTTGTACATTTGTTTTATTTCTGTCTCAGACAACCCACGTGACTGCACGGTGCACACTTGTCCATAGCCTTCATCTGGTACTTGGTGATGACGCCAGAGTTCTAAAAAACATGCTTTGCCAAATTATCTGTTCAAGCTTTTTTAAATGTTTATTTTTTATTTTCTATTGTGTACTTTCTGGACTCAGACCTGTGCATTATGGGTATTCAGCATCTGTAGCAACTAAACCAAATCTGAAAGCTTTCTCACGAAAAGACAAAGTGTGAATAAATTAGCATAACAGCAARATGCACCTGATTTCTGCTGGGTGTTACAAACATGGCAGATTTTACAGGTGCAGTTTGACGTCACGTGGCTGCTTCTAACTAACATTTATACTGGAGGAAATGAGTAAATAACAAAATTATGTTTCAGAATAAAAACAGCAACACAGCATTTCAACACTAAACTATCTAGCTTCATTAAAATCCTAACAGAGAAAAACACAAACAGAAGAGAAGTTTTGTTTATAAAATCCTGTTTACAGTCACCAGAATTCCCCTGAAATTGCTGTGGTAAACCGAGCTGACTCCAGCATTGGCTCCGGCTCAAACACAACACAGGAGCGGAGGAAAAAGCGAGGTAAATGTGCAGGGAAAGAGAGTCGTAGCCACCTCTATCTGATACCGACAGCCGCTCTAGCAATCTGACGTAACACAAACACTATTCAGCTTTTTGGGAGCCGTTAAGCACAGCGGAATGTCCAGAGAGCCGGGACTCACACCCGGAGCTCTGCTGCTCTTATCAGCTGTGGAAACGGGTGTTTTCCACATTGTTCAGCACAGCTCTGACAGAATGGGCTCTGCGCCCAACACCCTGTGGAGGTAAAGGGCAGCTTTCCTAGTCAATGGGAGCAGGATAAAGATGAGGAGGAGGAGATGGGATCATGGGCAACACTCGTAACAACTACAGCAAGTACAACAATTCTGGCAGCAATCACCCTTAAAGTGCCTGTCATATCCATGAAATACAAAAAGTCAAAGAAAATATATTTATAATGAAGAAACTTGGCATAATACACATGATTTTACCCTTTATGTCACATGATTGGCATAATTTCGTTTGAATTTGGCTCAGCTAAAATGAAACAGGAAGTGACATCAAAGGGGAACTCTTTGAGAAAGAAAACTTCCTGGTTTTTGTTTATTTAAACAATATTATTTGAACTATGACTCTTTCTCATCTCTCTATGATAGTGATTAAAATAATCTAAAGAAACATCAGATTCTTCTCTTCAGTCTATGTTGATAGCCATTTTAGCAACGCTCTGCTCACATTCAGACATTCCCCTTTGACATCACTTCCTGTTACTTCACAGGCAAATATCTCACCAACTGTTCATCTCAGTGGCGTGAAATCTTTTTTACAATATGTTGTCAATGTTATCTTCCCAAAAATACATTCATATTTATTACAAAAAATTGATGCCGCAGGCACTTTAAGCATGCTTTCAAATGCCACTGATTTATTTTGTCTATAAAAGAGCATAACCCATTAAAAAAAGAAAATAGAAAATCTTTCTTTTATTGTTTTAACATGCCAACTGGAGCCCAACTAAATCAGCAGTACCAGGTATTAAAAAAGCCAGCAACAAAGCTGTGTGCTGGTCCAACACACACGAGGACCACAACAAACATGAGCCAAAGTCAAAGAGCTGCACGGTCCCCACTGAGCAGGAAGTGAGCTCTGATAAAAAGAAAACACTGCGGCAGTGAGAAGCAACTTTCTGGCAGCTCCGGGCCCAGTTGGGAGAACTGCTCTACGCCTTGATGCTTCACAGGGACCCGATGGGCCCTTGAAATAAAACAAAGATAAGAACAGGGCCGCTCTGACCTCCCTGCCCTTCACAGCAGCTTTTGTTTCCTCTTGACCTCTTTCGCATGCCTGCCGTCTCCACAGCTCTAGCTGGTGATAAGCACGACAATGAGGGCTGTTAGCCCGCAATAAGAGACAGGGATAAAGGCTTCCCATGTAGACACTGAGTGATTGATAGCCCAGGCATAAAGATGTTAGGGTCACTACGTAACTGCACATTAGAAACCGTCCAGGATTCCTGAACAGAGGTTCAAGGGTTGATAGAGCGGCCCGACGTGAATACCTGCTGTGATTGTGTCCGTGTCCTTCAAGCTCTGCTCCTCCACAGCAGCTCGCCGCTGGATCTCAAACCTTCTGGAGAAGCCGTCCTTGGGCTTCCACAAAGACTGCAGCATGAGGGGCCGCTCATTGTCAGCCACCACTCGGAAGCACTCCCTCTTCCACTGGTTATCAGCACCTGTCTGACCAATCACGTCACACAGCACATAATCGTTGGCGTCTTCTTTCTCCAGGCAGTACCTGAACAACAGAAGCAGAAATTCAGGGAGGATTATAAGAATGTGGGGGGATAAAGGAAACAGATAAAGGGAAATGATCCTACTTTCTTTACAAGCAGACATTCTCTTCTACAGTAGAATGGTTGTAGACATATMTTTGGTGATTTTACTCATCATTTTGTCAATAAAATATCTATAATCTTCCTTTTTATAATTTTTTTTCCAAATACTTTTTTCTCATGATGGATACAATGGAGGTGCAACTGAGAAAACATTTTGTAGATAAATGTTTCAAGTTGTTGCTAACAAACAGTTAGCCGTCTTGTGAGCTTGATTTGTGTGTTTTTCCCCTCGAGAAGCATTCCACCTATTTTATCACCTGTTTCCACTACAAGACACTTGCTTTTATTTTTTTCGCAGTCATAAAAAAAATCCCAAATTGGACTTTGTCATTTTCTCCCAACTTTTGCTGTTATCGTTTTGCAGAGCGCTGAGCAGCAGCAGACTGTAAACAAGTGACGTTACAGAACACGAGGTGCCGTAAGCTGCCTGCGGCTAATGTGAAACTTATTGATTTGAAAAAATACTTAATAAAATTTAAAAATTGTTTCATCTGTCCACATGGCTTAAAGTAAACTGACAAACACTCAAACGAAGGATATCCTATTATTTCAGTTAGTTTTAGTTATTTTTGTAAAAAAGATAATAGAGTTCCAGTTAGTTATCTTTTTTCATTATATTACAGCTTTTATTTATTTCAGTTACAGTAGCTATAATAAACCTGGTTCACATCAGAACATCTCACCTCTCTAAAGCCTCCCTCACCAGCTCCTTGGCACAGGACTGAGTGGTGGCCAGCACACTCTTGTAGTGGGCTCCTTGGCAGATGTCACTGCCGAAGATCTTCAGGATGCCCGGCACAGACAACTGGCTGGACAACTCGGCGGGGTCGTCGGCGAGCTGCGGGTCTCCTGACAGGCTCCTGCCGCCCGCCACCTGGCCGTGCCGCCCATTGTCCCGCAGGTTGGGGCTGCAGTTGAAAACGGTCGAAAGCTTGTTGTTGTGACGCCGGATTTTACTCTTGGCCGGCTGCCGGACGCCGACGCTCTCAGCAGATCGGACGGTGCTGTCCGATTTGTTGGACCTAAGTGGGCACAAAGGAAAAAGTAAATAAAACTAGCAGCACACGTGTGGCTCTTATGTCTCCAGACCACTTGATGCTTTTAACAGCTTGTGCCGTTCCATTCCACAGATGTGTGCAAGCCTTTTTTTGCAAGTCCAAGTCAAGTCTCAAGTCTCTTGACC